TACTAATGCTAAAATCTGTGACAAAAGCAAATGAAAATTAAGGAATTCATCGAAATTAGGGGTGACGGAGAAATCATTTTCCACCCTGGTTCTCGTTTTGCATGACTTTTAAAATTCATGGATATCACTTGAAAATCTCGTCCCTGTGGAAGAGCAAAATCTTGGATTGAATTAAAATGTGGTTATTCTCTTGTTCTCCTATACCAGGAAAATTACGATCGCCCGGATACTGGAAAATAATCATCAAAGAAAGAGCGCTGACCACTCTTCCAGTCCGAAGTTTCTTCTTGCGCATGTCCCTCACCAGCTGTTTCATTGCTCAAGTAGAATTCATTGGCACCACGGCTAGCGCACGCGCCATTTACAGAATTTTGTTCTCTCGAAACGCAATTGCTGGAAACAACTGACTTTTTTATCAGCTCATAATGCTCCATGTAACAAGAGAAGAAGGGCAGATGTTTATCAAATAGAAACAAGTGACAGTGTGATTGGAGACACTGGAGAATAGATTCAAAACTCGCGAATAAAACTATCAGTAACCTTTCCGATACTTGATCCTTTGCACATTCATTACCAGGATAAATAGCAGCATTCTCTTCGCCTTCATCACGTTTATCCGTCTCATCGTTGGTCAAAAATTTTGCATAACTGTCCACACGCTTCATTTCCACTAACACTTTTGACTGTTTAAACAAAAAAACGTCCCTGGCGAATCCCCCTCTGCGATCATTTTTGTCGCTGAGATGCTCCTGTCTGTAGTGTTAAGCTGTGTTTTATCACACGAAGTGACTTGACTGTGTATTGTTTCGTCTCCATCTGCTGTTTCCCCAATGGAATGTTTAGAGGCCTTTTCGGTTTGTAGTGTGTCCATGTGATCTTTTTGATTTGCTACAGTTTGTGGCGTATCCAGGCCAGCCTCCTCGCTAGCTGCAGTTTGCTGTGTATCCGGAGGAGATTCTTTCTTTATAACAATCCTTAATCCACTTGCGCTTGTCTTAATTGTTGAAGCTTTAGGTGTTTTGGAATCGGCTTCGGATATGCACAACTGCCATTTGTATCGCTGAGCTGCTCAGGATCCAGTTCTTGCCGTTTCTTTGAGCTGCCACTGCTGACAGCGTGGCAGCGTGGATTCGTTTACCGTACAAGTGCTCCTCTTGCTAAATCTTGTTCTGATAAGTTAAGAAAGTACCTAAAATACGAAGGCAGAAACTAAAAAATTTTAATGAAACAGACCTTCTTAAATTCATCGAGTGTATTCTGGGAAAGAGTTCTGCATGACCAGCGAGATCAGGGCAATCAACATCACGTACTGGTTGCTGCTTTTGTACACTACTAAAATTACACTTTCTGCAAGCACTTTTTTCTATTCAGTATTAATGCGGACACCATATCCTCTTCATCCCTCCTTCCCCTTTCCCTCTCCAACATTACTCCCGTTTTTTTTCATGAATTCCAAATGAAAAGAGACGAAAGTTATAGTCGCGCGATAGGTTAGTGCAAGAAATCGGGTTGTCTTGTGCAAAAGTAATTCAGAACAGGCCAGCAAAAATAAGTGTTAGGAAGTGGCCAAGAAGAAAGATCCGGACAACTACGAGGAAGTACGGATTTCAACAAAATGAAAACAAAGTAACTGCTGCTAGGGCAATG